TTCAGTTTCAGGTTCAGCAAAAGCCACATCAGGCAGAAGACACATCATATCTAGTAATAGTGGCATCTGGGTCTCCAGCCCCGGAATTCACAGACTTACAGAATTCCGCATTTGCCCAGTAAATCTGGCAGTGATCGTGTCGAGTCTTAAAACCCCAGAAGGCTCCGATAAGGGAAGCCCGCAGAAGTTTGGATGCTTACTCAAAGTAAATAATGTGAACTTTCAGTTTTGGCTCAGGGCTGAATCACTGTGAAAACCACATTTTTTGTGGTATCTCAGCAATTGCCAAAAAGCAGAAAATGACGGCACCCGCAAAAACAAGTGAAGTACCTTGTCAGGCTTTTAAAACCCTCAGTTAAAAAATTCTTGGTACTGTATGTGGGAAAACAGAGTCACGAGGGCAGTCAGTCAACAACCCATTGGACCTGCAGTTCTGGGAAACCTCCAAGGGATGAGGGAGAATCTCCAGAATCCCTATGTATGAACTGAAACCCCCAAACGACACAGCATGCACAACAAACAATGCACTGAATCTAGTAGTGGCAACTCTGATAATCACTGTATCTATCCATTGTATGGATATCCATTATCCATTATATGGATATCCAGCTATTTCTGATTTTATTTGTTTCCCTGTCCCCAGCTTTACCTTCTTTCACTTTTTTTTTTTTATTGTGATGCTTCTGGGTTTGGAACAACAATTTGCGTCTTCCTTCTAAATGATGTCCTACCAACCAACCACATCCTTAAATTAAAGAAAAAGATTAGAATTTAAGCAGACTTGGTGAAAAGTAACCATGCTATTCTTCCTTTCTTTTTTTTTTTTTTTGTTTTTGTCATCTAGTTATTCTAGGTTGTAAGATATTTGAGGTGAGGGTTATTGGTTCATGATACTGGATTGAAATTATTATTAATTTTATTAATTGCACTATTAATTTACATAGATCTTTTATAATAGAATGGTTGGAAATGTGAGGTATACATGTAATTGGAGCAATTGCCAAAATAATACATTTCGCCTGATACTCGTGAGAGGTTAAATGTCACATTCTTTCACAGATACATAGGCAAAGGGACCTGTAAGTCAGAAAGCTGGAAGTCATAACCTGTCTTTTAACACTGAAACAACAGTATTAGTTCTCTTTCATTAGTATATTTGGGAGATTCATTACTAGAGAAAGATCGCAAATATCCTTAACTGTGACTTCCTATATTCATTCTTATGTGACTATTTCATTTTTTTTCAGTTACTTTTAATATTGTCCCAACAGAACAGAACCTGCCAAATAGAACAGGACCTTACAAATCCAACAAGCTGTAAAATGCCATTTCTGTGTGTATGGGAAAAAAGTGCAAGTTGAGAAATCAAGCAGTTGGCAGCCAGGAAATGGAGCCTGTTCTGTGACCTCTCGTGGTAATAAGAAGGCTTGGTGGTTACAGACTTCTCCCAGGGGCAGAACATGGTGCGTTGTTTGTAGAGCAAAGAGAAGGACAGGCTTCATAAGACAGCAGAATTTGTGAGAGCTGCAGTTGCAGTACATAGAGATATTTTCTGCTATTTCTTTTCCTCTATTTACTTCTCTACACACCCAGGATTTTGCTGCCAAGGCATGGTGCAGAGCAGAGCTTTTCGGAGGGAGCACCCAAGGCAGCCTGCTGCTGAAGTGGTGCTGCGTGCTCGACCGTGAAGAGAGAGATTTTGTCATGCTTGTTCTCTTAATAGCTGAGGCCATTCCAGCTGGATGCATCTGGCTGCTCTTCCACCCTCACCAATAATTAGTGTGCGGCCAACACCCAGTGGCAAAGGTGATGGAGGGAAATTCTGAATGTGAGTCGAGGAGTATTTGGCAAGAATGTCGCTGGAGTGGAGGACCAAAGTCACTGTGTTCTCTGGGATAGTGGGTTCAGTACGTTTCCCTCTGGCTGTAAAGTATTTGAACATGCTGTGCGCATGAGGGAGAATCAGCATAGCACGTTAAGCATTGCCAGGCAGGGTCAGCTCAGGCACGTGCCTTAATGGTGGCTGTGGGACACCTGAGAAAGAGGATGCTTGGACTACTGCAAATAAGACGGGCATGAAGTCATCTTTCCCTTCTTTTATTCTACTAATTTCTGGCAATCTAGAAGAATAAGGACTCCCTGATTCCGAAGATACATTTTAGGGCTACCTATTAAAGATAATTAACTATGTTTAATCCTACAAGAATAAGTTTTCTTCTGAACCCATTCATGCTTTTGACTTGGACGGTATTCTTTTGCATTGTGGCTGAATTCTGCACAGGAGTTACCAACCTGCAGGCTGGTTATGATAGCGCTAAATCATCACCTAATCGTTTTTCTGCTAGCTCTGTTAATATGTCTCATTCTTTATTTGGATAATTTGCAAGACGTGTGAGCTAGATAATTGCAATAAATGTCAGAAATCCAGGAACGATGAGACACATTGACAGAAGTAAATGTAGGGCAAGTCTATTGTGTCTCTAAGAATGTCTGGTTAGTCTTTTTAATTTATGCCTATCGGCATAGAAAATCAGCTGGTGGGAGAGTCTGAGGACAAAACTGAGAAAAACCTTTATGCAAAAGAGTAAGCAGTCATCAAAACTTGTCTATGCAATTATGGGCTATACGCATCTTACATTTGCTGAAACAGAGGAAATGGAACAACTTTAAACTACATGCTTAAAATATGCTTCAGCCAATAGCCAGCACAATTAAAATCAGTCTTCAGACCTCTTTGCTTTGGCCTTAATTGATGTTTCCACAGTTCAGTAATCTCTGGTAAAGAGAACAGGATAACATGACTCTCTACAATCCATTTTATCGTGTTTCTTTGATTGTTTATCACAGAATTACCAGGAATTCTTGCTCCTAGGCATAGGCTAGCCCAGGGTATTGCAGATGTTGACAGTATTAGGGACAAGGAGAAGGGGTCCTTCTAAAAGGATGAAGTTTAGAAGTTTTAGAGCGGTGGCAATTTTTACTTATTTCCAGATGATGAAGCATATAGATGAACAGGAGAGTGGGGAAAACTGCACTCAACTAAGACCAGCAAGCTATGTTCTCAAAGGGACAAAAAATGCAAAACCGTGGGAAAATAAAGGGAAAAGAAAAAAAACCCCGCAAACTCAATCTTTCCCTCCTATAGAGATTAGACAAGTAGCTACTTCTTGTTATGCGGGTTAAGATGCTCTGCTCATGATTAAATGGCTAGATAATGTGCTGGAAGGTGACTATTTAATGGTGCTCCTTTCTGCTCTCCATTGTGTCATGGAGTTTTAGCCTCACCACAGCCTCTCAGTGGAAATCCCCAATAGGTAATATTTTCTCTTTCCTCTATTCCTTTGACATTTATTGTACAAAAGCTATATGGAAGTTGTTCCTGTTTTTCAAGCCATTGGTGCAGAGGGCAAAGATTGAAGGAGAGGCCACCCAGGGAAGGACGTAATCATCAGATAAATAACTGCACATTTTTCCCTAAGTTCTTTTCTATGGCCCCTGCAGCTGAGGACTGATCCAGGCCCATGGCACTGGGACAACCATGTGTGAACAGGGGATGGGATACACCATCTTCTTGTTTGTTGCCTCGATTTAAGAAACCCGATGACCTGATTTAACACTTGCATCAATTGAATGCTATCCCTTCCCTTAATACTGACCCCTTGACTTAAAATATTGCTGCATATCCTCAAAGAGCTGCCCCAGTGGGTTACCTGCATGACCACAGTAGCACGGTCAGACATGTGCCCCTCTAGCAACATCTCCTCCTCCTCTGCTGTTAGCTTGGCTTGCAGAGCCCTCAAGTCCCCATCTTGATTTCTAGGATGATGGGTGTTGGATCGAAGATGCAGTAAAAGGTGCTACCCCTCTTCTGTGTCTGTGTGGGTTCGTGCCTGGAGGGCTGGGGTGCTAACCACTGCCGCTTGCTCAGAGAAGCGGATCTCCCCTCTGCGGTGGCTTCTGCCCCCCGCCGCATGCCGGGTTTCACAGAAAAGTGAAATAATCACAGGAACTCTCGGTGGTGCCTGAATGTCTGTGTTGCAGTTTCATGAGCTCCCAATCAATAGACTTCATTAGTGGGCTGGTTTGACGACTTCTGTTCTCTCTTTTTTCCTCCCTTCTTTCTTCCTTTGCTCTTTCTTTTTTTTTCCTTTCCTTTTTTTTCTCTCTCTTTTTTTTTTTTTTTTTTGGAAGAAGACATGTCTGTGTACCACCTTGTTAAACCTCAGCATTTTGCATTGTAGGACTGCTCAGATGCCTGCAAAAACTGTTCGTATTGTGCCCTGGGATGAGTGAGCCTGCAGATGACAGCTCTTGGCAGAATTTCATTTAATTGCTCACTGAGGTGGCCTGAAAAGCCTGATATTCAGGTTTGCTCAAAGAGGACCTGAAATGACAGACGGTCCATGTTTGACCCCGTATTTGAAGAATTTGCTGGCATGATAGTGGACACCCTGTTCAATGGTTTGATCCATGGCAGCAAAGGCGCTGCCAGAATAAAGAAAGCTTTGAAAACTGCTTTAAAATATTCTGGTTTGTCATCTGCATGGTAAAACTCATTTTACCACTTTCTTTCCGTGTATTACCAAGGCCATAATAATGCTCAGTCATGCTTACATAAAAGTGTTTTTTTAAAAAAAGGGTAATGAACAAGAGAGAGAAGACAGCTTGGTTTTCAGAGGAAGATGCTCAGACTTTATACAGACGGATGTGACAGCTATGCAACGAGTTTCCAAACACAGCCTTCATTTAGACACCTTTGTATAGTCTCCAAATGGAAGAAGGGAGACAAGGTCTCTCTTATTTCAGTGTAGTCCTCCAAAATGCTTTCCAGCTCTCAAAAGAAATGGAGAACAGGTGCTCACTGAGGACGTTCTTCAGTTCAGTCCTGAGAAACCCATGATGCTGCCATGCTGCACCTCCACTGCTCTGCTGCCCATCTAGATGTGCTGGGGACTTAGGTGCGAAAGATGCAATGGTAGAAGGCAGCACTGTAGGGGGAGTGGAAGTTTTGAAGTTTCCAGCACATTTCAAGCTGCTTCAGGATGAAGGAGGAAAAGACAAGGAGCGAAGAGGAAAGCACAGGAGATGGCAAAGGATAAAAGTATAACATTTCCATGTGCTGGGGACAAGGGACCATGGAAGCAGCAACAGGAACCTCAAAACCTCGATTGTCTCTTACTGTCTTACAGCTGATAAGGTGAAGCCTGTGGGCTATGCACAGAACTCAGTGCAGGAAGCTGTTACCAAAACTTTTCCCAGGCTAATTTCCTGCAAAACAGCAGTTGTGCTGCTCATGGATCAGAAACAAAGAGCTCTTCTGCAGAGAGGAAAACTAATGGAAACCAAAGCCCAAGCATTCAGAAAACCTGTGAAAAAGAAGTCTTTGCAGGAGATAATTCAGGAGGAGACTGTGAAACCTTGTATAAAATGGCTATTGCATCATTTCAACAAAGGGTTAATTTATTGCTTCACATGAACGGGCACATCACCACCCAGAATTCACCCAGCAGAGCAGTGAGTCATCCCCCGAAGCAGCCCTCAGCCCGGCAACATTCCCATCTGTTACCCAGCTTTGCTCAGGTTGTGTATCCAGTCAGCCTTCCTTTACAAACCAAGC